TTCTCCTTTACTCTCTCTGGTGGCTGGTGGCGGGAGAAGAGTAAAAGAAAGGGCGGGAAGTTACTTATCTTGGTTAACCTGCACATCTGGATGTGTTTTAATATTCTGGTCCACACTGAAAAGCATGAATAGGCTTTCTCTTTTATCTTTGACAAATAATTTTTAGATTTGAGATACTTGTTTTAACTAATCGGGGGTTTGGGGGAACCTGTTTACAGCCTGAATAATTTTCCTCCAATTTCTAGCTTGGTGTAACTTGTTATGAATATGTCAGTACTGCATCTTTTCCCTCTTTTTAAATAGTGGCACAATGAATGACCAGAATCTGCTCTTTACATTGATTAGTAAGAGCAGCTTTTCAATTACCAGCCTTAGACATCTGTTTCAAAGACATGAGATAAGAAATTTTAAAAATGACATAGTGAAAATTTCACCATTCTTCTTGCAGTCTTTGTACCAGCTCTTTTCTCCTGCAGGAAAGGAATTAGCATGTAGTTACTAAGCACAGATCCAGACTCCAATAAAAGCTCCAATTAATAGCAAAACTCATGTAACTCAATAAACCAAAATTAAAAAAGGAACCTAAAATATAAAAAGGTAAAAGAGAAGGACCAAACTAATTTATATGTGTTTAGCTTCAGTATCTAAGTAAGATCTGTTCATCCAATGCCGCTTGTGTCCTGTGTTTGTTGTGCATTCTATGTGGCTGCAAAGATGGGAAAGAGGCCTGGACAGTAGGAAATGTAACTACTAACACCATCCAGCAAACCTAACTGAGGTCAGTAAGACAAAAGAAGGATTGATCCTAATGGGAAACCACAAGATTTCTCTGGTGACCTTTCTCATGAGGTGAAAGTAGCAGCAAAATAGTTTACATGGGATGGGTATGCTACCAGGGAATTCCCTAAAGTGATGAGACCTGCAGAACTCCCAGCAAAGGCCAGTGTTGTAAGCTATAGAACAGATCTTGTCTCCCTTTGCTCCTTCCAGTTTCCACCTGGTTTTAAATACGCTTTTATCTCCACTCCTGCTGTAACTATAAGTACGATTGTTTTAATGAGATAAAACAAATAAATACTGCAATGTAACTAGCGACTTCTTCAGGTTGTTTTGGTTTGGTTTTGTTTGGGTGGTTTTTGTTTATTTTTGTGGTGGTTTTTTTTGTTTTTTTTTCTCTTTAAATAAAAATATCAGAAGCAGTGCCAATCTGGGAAAATAAACTTGTGCTTTTACTACAATTGAAAAGAAAAAATCCACCTTGCAATAGTAATACTGGCACTGCCCAGGCAACCTGAGCAAATGCAGAAATGTAGGAATACAGTTTCTCATTCATCTGGAATCAGCTTGTTCATGTCTATAGCATTCAAAACTGTATGAAATAATGCTGTTATTTTACTTCATTCATGTACATGTATTATACAACTGAGTTGTGGTGAGGAGGAAGCAGTGCTATTTTCCTTCAGGTTATGATGTGATTTGTGAATGGGAGCTGGTGTTTCCAATTTTTCTTTTGTTGTAGTGTCTGTATAAGATGTATATTCCTCACTGATAATGAAACTTGTTGCTAGAAATGTGTTAAAGAAGACGCATTTGAGTCATTCAAGTACAAAAATCTTGCAAAAATATGTCCTGCAAGTTAATTGTAATTTTCAGAAAGCTTTCAAAACGTTTATATGTATATACATATAAAGGGTTAGTGGGAAAATTTCCCATCAGTCATTGCTGTTACAGCAATATTATATGAACAAAATAAAAAGTTTATTGATTTTGTTTTGGTTTTTTGTTTTCAGTCTCTGCAGTGTAGAGTGAACATGCAATGAATTCCTGCCTCTGATGGCATAATATCCCCTCTTCCACTATAACATGCTCTGCAAAAAGCAGAATACAAATAAAGGGATAAACATTTACTCATAATTTTACTTCATTTTTTTCCCTTCTTATTCATTATAGTAAAACAGAAGCTATCAACTCATATATCTTATTTCTGAGCTGATAATAAGAGATCGTGAAGAGAAGGGGCGTGGGGACCTGTCCATTTAGGTAGTTTAAATTACAGCATAATGGGCTAACTCCACACTAACCTAATTTTTATTCTTTATGCTCAGCTCTGTATTACTGATCCTGCTCCCACATGGCTTCTTTTGCCATTCAATATTCAGAAAGTGCTTCTCTGCTTTACCTTTTAGGATCCAAATAATATTCATAACCTCTCCATAAGCAGCTGACTTCCACTGGCTGCTGATTCCTCCTCGCCATAAAACCGCCTGACTCTGAGAGGCATAAAAAGCATGAAAAGTGATATCTTACTGCAACGCGGGAGTGTTTGCTGGGCTGTGTCAGGCTCCACCAGACAACTGAAGAAGTCCCCTTCACACTGCATCCCTTAAAACTGCACTGACCAAAAGAATTAATGAAGAAACTTTGAAGAATGCCATGTAAACATGTCCATATAAATATCCCATGCATAGGGATGTAGGACTTGACCTAAGATACAGGCTTAATGACAGATGTCTAAATCAGTGTATTTTAAATAGCAGCCTTGGATCTAGCATTCTTTCTAGCCTTTGTTCCCTGATATCTTTACAGCGACCCAGCTGTGGGTATGTCCAGGTTCGTATCACCATTGTTACTAACCACTTTTTCAAATGAGCTGGGAAGATGTCAGTGCTTTTCTTCCAATAAAATGCAAAAACAATGGGTTGAACAGAGAGAGCATAACAGTCAATGCAGGATCCTTCATGGGAGATGCCTAGAGAGGAGTACACATGTGAGGTAATGGTACATTGGTATTCTCCTGTAAAAACTCCTGTCCTGGCATTCGCCTATCCAGAGGGTGCTGTTTTTTTCTCTGCTTGGGCTTGTGCATAGACAGTATTTCATGCTCTTGAAGGTTTTGGGAAATGAACAACCCATACTGCAGTGCAGTGCTCAGATGTAGAGTGGGGCTTTAGCTGGAACAACAGGCAGGACAAAGATTAGTAAGTGATTGAGCTGCCTGTTATTTTACACTTGTTTTGAAATATTTATTCAGGTATAAATCTAATGTAACTTTGTGAAAATATGAGACGTTAGTTTGCATAGTCAGCGGTGTTGAGGATGCACTGGCCAGGATGCAGCCTATTTTTAGACTTTCAGATGAGCTATCTAAAATAGGAGTTTAATCCTTTCAGGTGATTTTTCTGAAGGTGACATTGGCCTTTCCAAATTTGAGGATCAGCTTGTTAAGGAAAATATAATTGCAGTTACCCCACTTATGTTTTTAACAATGAAGGAGCAGGTTCACTACAGTGACATCAAAACCATCAGGTTTCCAACAGATTGACTCAAAGTCTTATTGCTTCTGAATCTCAACTGTTGAATCTTTAAAATATGAAATAAGATGGAACCCAATTACCAAAGTTATTTTCCTTTCCTTTCTAAAGGATTGAATGGTAAAGTCATATTTGTGTCCTATGCCATTATTTTCCTCAGACTACTCTCTCTTCTAATAACTGGTCTCATTCTCTGGTTAGTGACTTACTGATAACTACTCTAACAAAGATTTGCAAGATAGCAAAAAATATAATACATTCACAACTTTTACTTTTTTTTAATACTCAATTACTTTAGCTCACCAAGAACCTTCCTTGAAGTAATTTTTAGTTTTATTTGCATATATTTTAGCTTCTTAGAATGCCTGGAAAAACTGTTGGAGTTAGTAAGAGAGTTATTGTAACAGAAATAAGCCATGTGGTTTTTATACTCATATATTGACCTAGAGTTTCCCATTAAGCTAAAGCTACTGGCAGGTGAGAGGAGATTCTTTACTTGCTGGTCATTGTACCTCTCCTGAAAAGAAGGATGGGTTTGACTCATGCAGGTCAAATTTATTTCCTTTGTAAGCTCACTAAAATCAGAGGAATTATGTCAGCAGTGCCGCTTTTGCTGCATGAGTTTTACATTGGTAAAGTATAGCCTCTTTCCTTCACTTGGGAGGATTTCTGAGATTCATTAACCTTTCAGAGCAAGTTTTACGCCAAGCCTTCGTTTTGTCTTAGAGGTCAATTTCATTTAATATACTATACAGCAAACAAAGCAATAGTTCAATTTGAACAAAACCTTGGGTCATCCAGCAGCAAATCACTTACAGGTGGATAACAGAAAATGGTGTAAGGCAGAAAAACAAGTACAGCAAAATGTAAATACCTCTGAATGTTCAAGAAAGGAACCATTTAGTAAAGCAAATCAGCATGATAGAGATAAAAGAGCTGAGAGTGATTCATCTAGTTGAACCAGTTTTATATGAGCATAGTGCAAGCGCCCTGTTGAAGTTATGTTAGTGTAGCTGGTATCCCAAGCCAGCAGTTTCATTGCAGTTTAATGGTGCACCTTAGTCTTCACAAGAGTGTCTAGCTGAAACTATTTTCCTGAAGCTTGGAAATAATATTCAAATAATCTATTTCCTTAAAACATGCACCCACAAAGATTGAATAAATTTTAGAATTTCTTCATAAAAGGCCAATACAAAAGCTCTTTGGGTTTTTGATTTTCATAGAGAATCATTAATTTAACAACACTTTATCTGGAATAATATGCTTTTCATAAATAATAAAAATATTTTTTGTACCAAAAAATAGTGAAATAGTTGGTTTTATATTTAGGTAGCTTAAACACCATATTAGTACAACTTACAAGCATATTAATAGTCAAAAGGAAAGAATGGTCTCCATTTTTTTGTAGGTATCTCCCCCCAGAAACTCCAAAAGTTTAGAGTTAGGATTAAACTAAAGCAATTTAAAAAGTCTACAGTGTGGAAATTCAAGTTTGAATCAACCAATTAACACCCCCCTAATCTGTACCCTCAAGTCAAACCACAAGTAAGCAGCCATTTAATGACTAATTCCTAATAGCTTCCACCACCTGAACTAGAATAATATATTTTTTTAGCCCAGTTCCCGTTACAAACAAGGTTTATATGATCATACTGTTCTTACGTGCTACTAAGTTTGTCTTTCCATTTACTTTTCAGTCCATTGGCTGGTTTTAAGCCAAGTTAACTGAGGGCTGAGCAATCTGAGTTCCCACAATTTTTATAGAAACAGGAACTAGAAACAGAGGAGGGAAAGCTCGTAAAACCTGGAAATATCCCAGCTGAAGTAAAAGCTGTAGCATCAATTTGTGCATTTTTAGGCACCATAAAAGTCACATAGGAAATAAACATTTTCTGATACCTTCTGTAGTGAATGGAGCTTCATCTAGAGCTCACACAATCCATGGTAGTGCCCAAATCCACATGAAACCAAAGTTTCTGGATCACCATTTATTGGTGGCGCTACTGTGGGATCTACGATGTGGAATTGCTCTATGGGAAATAATAAATAAGTTCAGCTTCCAATCTGTTTGAATATTTCTATGCACTGTTACAAATCAGGATTGTTTTGTCTTCTTTGGCTCTGAGATGGGGAATGTCTGGGAGGAAGCTTGGTGACCTTCCCAGGAAGCAGGATATAGGAATTGCTCCTGCATTGCAGTGGCCACCAGGCAACTGACCCAGCATTTGGTTTGCTGGGGACAGTGGCTCTTGACTTTTGCTTTTTCGAGCACAAAGGCTTTGCAATTTCCTTGAAGGAAGCAACATGTCAACAGTCTTGCTTCTGTTTTTCCCTTCTTCCCAGAGGCTGCGAAGACCTTTATCTGTCCATTTTGCTGCTGTGGTCTAAGAAGTGTTTTCTGGCTGAGCTGTCTGCTTTTCCCTTACCCACAAGAACACTCTGGTCTATTCAATACATTCTTAATACACTAGAGAGATTAGAGCATGAGTTCTGGACCCAAATGTCTATCCCACTTCTGAGTAAGACCCAATTTTCTGCTAGAAACAGAAAGCTTCTAGCTTTCTGCTGCAGGCTACAGCCCTCACAGTCCTGATGAGAAATGCCAGTAAGCACCACCAGGATCACAAACCTGACCGTGGAAGCTGCAGAAGTATGAATGCACAGACCTTTACAGTTAGTATAAAGGCCAGTTGACAATGATTTCATGTTTATATATTTTTAACTTTGCAGTGTGAAACCTAATAGCAAAAAGTAATGGCAATTCTAATTATCCCTGTAAAACAACACCACCATTGTTGATCACTGTCAAATCTTCCCCAGCTCTTATTTTTGCTCTGTTTAAATTCACTAAGGGACTGCAGGTTCCTTCAGCTCTGTCTGCAAGTGTTCAGCACTTGTCAGATTAGAAAAAAAATAAAGACATAGTTAACTAAATGCCAGCTAAATAAATGCTAGGAATAAACCCCAAGCATTAGTTCTTGTCAGAAATAATCCTGGTTGAGTAATCAGTAGGGATGTTTTTTTGCTGACATGCAATATGTGAACAAATGCAGTATGAAAGAGTTGTTATTCTGCTTGATAGTTATAAAATTAAATTAAACATCCTTTTTAAATAAACATCTTTTCACAAAGGTTATTTTAGCTAATATCAGTTGACCATTTCAAATCTTTTGTTTTTTCATTACTTAAAAATTAGCAAGCAAATCCCACCCTTTCAAGCTTTGTTAAATCCTTCCTCCAGAGAATGCATGTAAATACAGCTGAATTTTATGTTTCGGTAAGAATTTTTCAAGGTACTTGTTAGTTCTCTCCTCTCAGTGACAAGGATTCACGAGTACAACTACTGATCTAAAAATGTACCAACTGCTTACAGCCATCACTGAGATGTTAAAATAATAAGGATTTTATTTTCCTCTTCTTTGTTTTGTGGCACAAATCTATGGGGAGTTTCCAGAAAATGTCATAAGAAATTTTGTTGCTGGGGATAAAAAAGGGAACAGAAATGAAAAACATTCCTGTAATTGACTAACAGTTTTGTGTGAGCATTAGTGTTTGAATGGAGTCTAGATGCTGAGACCTGAGCTGTTGCTGGATGTTAAATAAGAAATACATTTTTTATTTGTTTTTCCTCTTTACTAAAGTGATGGAGAGACATAATGCAGTAAGTGCATTCTGTTGTACCATCCGTGACCTCAATGTGGAGGGAGAAAATGGGCTTTTGCTGTCACTTTCTCATTCTGTTACAGATTTGAGTTTTACTCCAACATTACTTCCAGTCTAATTGCATCTGACCCGGCACTCTTGCAGTGATAGGGTCAGTCAACATAACTGGAGGCCTATGTAACAGCTAGTATTTATAAAGTAAATATAATTGCTTGCTAAGCCCTAGAAGCATCAGCCTTATGAGTTTCCTCATTTTCATTAAAATACAAGTTTCTTTCCAATTGCCTATGGAGGCAATACAGAAAAGGTATTTATGTGCCATAAGTGAAAGCTGCCTGCATTGGGAGATAAGGCTAGGAAATTAAAAAAGCTTGCCCCATTTAATGTAAGTTTAAATTAAAAATAGCAGCTTGTGCCCAAGTTACTGATGTCCACATATTTACATCTTAAAATCACAGATCTGTTCGTATGTTTGCACATATAAACATCCTCTTGAATGTTATATTCACTGTTTTCTTGAATTGGGATAAATCCAGTCTTCAACATGTAAAGTTTTGTGTTTCTGCCATTACAAATCAAGATATCTAGATCTGTTTGCTTGCCTTTGCATACTTACCTATGTTTTAATTCAAGTTGAGAAAGCATTTGTCATTTCAGAATGAAAACCTGCAAGTCACTCATCTCTGGTATTCTGTTAACACTGGAAACTAGACCTGCAATATTTTGGAAAAGAGTTTTATTGCTCCAATATCAGCATATTCTATGCACATTAAAATGAAAATATAACTTTCATATCTATAAAGTGATGCCTGGAGCAAATTGAAGTATTAGTGTTTTCAGGGTCAGTGCTGCACAGCTCCAAGTGCATCGTTTAAGGATGATCAGCAATCTCAGCTTGGGGCTTGTACACCCATGAGAAGTGAAAATATAGAACATTTTGCAGTAGCAAGCTTTGCATTAGGCATCATTATCCATTACTCTCCCAGCTTGACTAAAGACAGTGTTTGGGTTATGCACAAGGCTGTGTGTATGCTGATCTCAATTCTCTTTCCAGTCATTTTTATGTAATAAAACGAAGCGAGCTATCTTCAATACACAAGCTGCTTCATTTTTGCATTACAACCTTTCCCTTCCTACTCAAACCACAGTGTACCAAAAATCTCTAAACCAGCAGGTCATCCACAGCTATGTGCTGATATGTAATGAAAATCTGAAGGTTCAAGTCTCTTTTAAGCAAAGATAATATAAAAAAGGAAATGGTCTGTTAAATTTTACTATTCATGAGACAATGCAAGACAGAGAATCACCTACTGGGATGGTCTCCTTCTACAGTCCTGTGACTTTCCTGTGATTAGCATTTCCTGTGTTTCCCAGTCTTTCCCCTCAAAATAAATCTTATTTTCTGTATTTTAAGTTTTAGTGTAAGGCACTCCTGAATAGTATCCCTCCTTTGACTGGATGCTCAGGTGGAAGCTTTTAATTATTAAAGAACACAAACCAATTATTTCTAGGTTTCTGGTAGGTCATGACTTTCTTTTTCTTTGAGTTTATACATTTTCTCTAGTAAGGACTCTATTTTTGTCCTGGTAATGCTGAGCATATCATAAACATATAGCAATACACACAGGGCTGTGTGAGCCCTGAACCTCAAAGGGAGTGCTAGATGAACACAGCTGTGGTGTCTCTAATTATATGGCAAAGTGGCTTAGGGATCCTGTATTTTTTCTCTGAAATCCTAGAGAGAAAATGGCTGTGAACAATGCAAGGCATGTGCGCTGTAAGCTTGCTTAAGTTCTTGATGCATGACTTTCAGCACACAAGCAAGTGAGTTTTCCAGCTCATGTACATTGAATTCAACAAATCCAGCTCTGCAGCATATAGATAGCAGAATGGGCTGTTTCAAAAGATTCATTTTCACGTGGGTAAGTGTGACATGCGTGTGACTCTCTATGTGCTAGTCCATTTTCCTCACATCAAGCAGTTGGGTCAGATCTACTGCTAGACTTTCTGCAATCCCTTCCAAATGCCAGCAGCAAGCTAATGGGAAGTGGTTCTTGCCCTGCAGCTGGCACAGTAAATATGCTTCAGTATTCTGCCGCTTCTGCAAACGTATCCTCAAAGGCAAATGCATTCCCTTTCCCTGTAGATATGGATGGCCCCATCTCATGGAGGTCATATACTTCTTCTCAATGGAGATGTGGGAGGCACAGAGGGATCTGGTTTCAGCCATTGCCTCCAGTATGTCTTGGCACCAAGGGGTGTGAAGAACTCCTTGTGCATCCTGAATTGGGGTAAGAAGTAGGAGTCAAACATGAATCCTGGCCATCAATGTTCAGTAGTTTCATTAAGCACATGTTTCTCCTGCATCACAGTTCTGAGCAGGATTTTGCAGCTTCCTCAGGTTCCCCAGGAATCCTTGCTGTAGTGTTTAGCACAGGGCTGGTCTTGAGGTTTTGCTCCTGACTTTAAGAACTTTATTTTTCCCCCAGTGAAAACAGTGCAATGCCAGATGAAATTCAAGGCTTTGCTCTTCACCTCCTTACGAAAGCTTGTAACTCTACATTTTTAATGTGCATCACATCTGTACATCTCTAGAATGATCTGTCTATATGAACCGCAGCTGAGACACCTCATTCTGTATGGCTGCCAAACCCCTTTATGTACATCACATTAGTCAACACAGAAGGGATTAGTTATTTTTATAAGAAAAATGCCACCAAATCCTTTTTCAAATATTTAAAATATTTTTGGCAACTCACATTTGTATAATCCTTATGCAGCTGTTTCATACTGAAACAAAACATAATACTGTACATGATGAACATCCCAGAACCTCCTCTCTGATTTTATTAGCTCCTTTGCACAGACACATGAGACTTAGCAAAAAAAAGCAAACAGTTCTGATACAAATCAACATTTTGGTGTGCAGTTGGCTTGTTATGCACCACATTACCAGTATCAGCAGCTCTGAAGTATGCACAGCTTAGGCAGTGTGGGACCGTACCACAGGGGCATAGCATGGAGGCACCAGAAAGGCAAAGTAAAAGGAGAAGTGAAAAAATGCATGGGTTTAATGGAACTACTGGGGGCCGTTTTCTTTCCTGGTACTGATCAGCCAGTGATGAGGGGCTGGGGATGCTGCAGGTGTCTGACGTTCTGTACTTCTGCTGTAAAAATGCCTGAGAGATGTGATCTATGGGATTGGTGCGACTGAATGTAAGAATGATCAAACCTAATTAGACAAGACTGTAATTTGTTCATTTTGCTGAGGTAAAACATGATCCACCAGCACAACTTGAAAGGCCTTAGCATCCTAGACACCAGTGATCACTCGGGTGCAGTCTATCCTATTTTCGTGTAATTTCTTTTCTCTTTTTCTTCTGTGTCTTGTTATTACCCAGTGGACTGAGTCACATTGTTTTATACTCATGAATGTAGCGAGTAAATTTACTTTAGACTTACACTGGTAGCAGGATCTGGCACCTTTTCTCTATAAACACCCGGAACACTTCCTTTCTCTTCCCTCCCAGTTGGGTAGCTTCAGAGTCTGGCAAATGAGAAGCACTATTTTTAATGTCTCATTCAAACAGCAATGTGGTAGAAGCATCAAATAATAGTTGCTTTCAATACAGGAAACAACACACAGTGCCACTGTTTCTAAATTATATTAAAAAATCTCTTAATGATGATTGTCATAATTGTACAGCCTCTAGACTTTTCATTTAAAAGCTTGCTGTTAATCAATGCTGAATTTACAGTGTTTTTTTTTTTGTGCGAATATGCCTGAATTTTAATATGCTAATGAACTTAGTTGGGTGTAAAATGTGACCTGGGAAATAAGTTTTTTAAGTACTTCAATAAAATAACATATATAAATAATACAGTGAAAACATTATTAATAAGGCTGTCAAATGAAGCACTAAAATGTTAATTTTTCATGGATATCCTTAACACATAACAAATGCATTTTATCTGAAATTGGGCCTAAATTAGACAATTTTCCTTTAAAAGGCAAAAGGCATCAAATTTATACTATACCAGTCACATTCCAGTTCCTGCTCTGAGATAGAAAGATACTGCATGCTACAAAGATATCAGAAAATAACTTTTTAATACTGGAAATTATATACCTTATTCTCAGTTTTGCTTCAAGAAATGGGATTTAGGATGATTTTGAAAAACACTCAAGAACAGAATCATCCAGAGGAAAGCACTGTGTGTGAGAACATGGAAATTTGCCAGAGAAACAAGCAAATAGAAGCACTGCTATATTGAAGTGTTAGACAACATTAGTAATGAGATGTTTCAAATATCATACAAAGAAAAAATGATACAATTAGTTAAATGCTTTTCAAATTAAAGAAAAATAAAAGTATCAACCCCTTTCTAAGACAGGATGTGTAATGTGTAGGGTCCTTCACATTCAACCTCCAAACACTGGAATGCTCTGTGATGGCCCAAGTTGTTGGGAAGGAAAAAAACCTCAGAGATGGATGGGGAACAGGGTTAGCAGAGAGCCTGAAGTCTTACTGTGCTGAGGAGTATTCAGCTAAACAGCCCTTCCTGCTATAGAGGAAAACAGGCACAAATAACTGTTGGCTGAAGCCTCTAGAAATCACAGCTTGGGATATTCAGTGCAGTTACCTTCACAGAAGATCTGCGTGGAGAAACACCCATTTTCTATCCTGGGAAAAAAAATTGCTTCTATGAGTCAGATCAGCAGGTTTGAATGAATCTTTTTGCAAGTTGTTAAAGCACTGTGCAGATTGTGTGTTTTCATTGCTAGCAACTTTATCATAAGCTGGGCCAAGCACATGGGATCTGTTGAAACCTGCTGAGAAAATCCTGAAGAAAGCCTTATGCCCTAATGATGGGCAGAACTTAGGCCAGGCAGAAATGCAGCAGGGAGCGGATGATGTGTGTGCCCTCCTCACATCCTTGCTTTGCTGTCTGGCTGCTGGGGATTCTGAGATGAAATAACAGACCTGGATCCATCCAGGATCTCCAGGAATAAAAAAATTCCACAGGAATCTCTTCCCTGAGCTGCTTATATCCCTAAGCAATATCTTAGAGGCAAACAAGCCCAGAAGCAACCAGACCAGCTAGAGGATCTTAATTATGCTTGCTATAAATACAGCACAGCTCTGGATTGGTTAATAATTTTGTTTGTTTCATCTTAATCTCAGAGAACAAGGGGCTGAGGAAGTGCAGAACCTGTCCCTGACCTTCACATTCCCGGACATCTGACCTGGGGAAGAGCTATAGTGCAGAGCAGAGATGTCTGATAGGAAAGCTTGCCGGAGAAGGGTTGCAGAGCCAGAAAAGCCCCTGTCCACACAGAGGCAGAAAGATCAACTATCTGTGCAGCTGCTCTTTTGGTAAACCGTGCTTTCTTTTCCACAAAGGTGGTGTTTACTCTCAGAGATCAGGACACAAGAAATCCTCACTTTACCATCTGCTGTTCGATGCTGAGCATTCAACCAAGAGCTTATAATTTTTGCTGAAAGATGATCCTAAGGAAAAATACGTAGGCATTTTATCTTATAACGGTGTCTGAGCTCTTTGACAAAAAAGGTGCAGCTTCCTACCAGATGCCTCTTCTAGTTCGGAGGTCTTTTTGTTTTGGTTTTGGTTTTGGTTTGGGGTGTTTTTTTGTTTCTTTGTTTGGGTTTTTTTTTGGGTTTTTTTTTTTGGTTGGGGCTTTATTTTTGTTCATTTGTGAGGTTTTTTTTTTTTTTGGGGGGGGTATTTGTTTGGGGTTGTTTTTTTGTTTTTTTTTTTGGGGGGTGTCTGGGATTTGTTGTTTTTTTTTTTTGTTTTGTTTTTTTTTCGAGGCTGAAATTATTATTCTGCTACAGAAAGTAAAGGTTTTGCTTCCTTTCCCATAAAAATTCCACTGACTTTAATAGGAAAAGAGAAACATTTATTTTTCTTGTTTCTGGTCCCCATCCAGACTTTCACAATCTTGTAATGTGTTTATCCTGGAAAACAGGGAAATGTATGCATTTTCCCCATACTTCAGAAGGAGAATTAAGACAGAAGTGGACTACCTATCACACTCTGACTGCAGCCCAGCCCAGCGGCCTCAGGATCAACACCGCAGTTCATGAACTTGAGTGAGGAGCTGTGCTCAGGCTGCTGCAGAGCAGTAAGTCAGCCATGCTCTATCAAAGACTCGTGCTGTGAGTGTCTGAGTAGATCTGGAGCTCCTGCTCTCACAGTTACCCCACTGGTGATACAATAACAGGCTCAGCTTGGGGATTCCTCACAGGATAAAGGATCCAGGTGATACATGGCTACAAAATGCCTTTAATACCAGGCATAGCATAGTCCTTGCTGTCTATAGGTCAAACACATGCTGTAGGATGTTCCTGGTCAGCCCTGGAAGGTGAAGGTGGGAGTTGTGCAGGGAGTGAACCTATTCCCTTTCTTCTTGAGAGACCCTGGCTCCCTTATCTCTTCCCAGGTGAGCAGGGCTGGGCTGTGCACTCTCAAATCTACTTCCTCCTTAAAGCATTGGTCTCCCCTGTTTACCTGTCCCACTGGTCCTCCAGGCAAGCGAGCAGAAGAGCAGTGTTGGCAGCGGCAGCTCCTGCCATAGGGACATTTGAGGAGGGCTGCTGTGTTAGTGGTGGGGAAATGCAGAGAAGGAGGTAGCTGCCAAGGCAGGAGAAGGGGGATGCAGAGACAGATGGCTGTGCGCACAGGGAGCATTGCCTCTGTGGGGAACAGCATGTGGGAGGTTGCACAACTCAGAGCTGCTCCCTCCCTAAACCATCCAGGCTGGATTACTCCTGTGGGCACTTAACACGATGATAACAATCTCCTTCCCTATATGATTATGCCAGTACAGGGTGGCCACACAACCACTGACCTCCTGACGTGCTGTATCTCTTCTTTCCGCCTTGGTTTTGATTTGGGATTTTTCTGGATGCAGTACTCCTTTCTCATTATTCTGGAAGTGCTCGGGGAATTTATAAGACTAATAACGTATAGTAGGTTTGGCTGGGAAAATTCCATTTAACAAAAAATGTTGAGGTTTTGAAACATACTTCATTCTGTGTTGGAATAAAATCAAAGTCTTCCAAAAACTGTTTTGGAAACTGAGCAGAGCAATCAGGGACCCACTGAGAGGTAGGAGGTCGTTTTTTGGAGCTGAGCACAAGAAGATTATGGGTCTGGGTCTCTCCTCCCCTTAAAGTGGGCCCTAGGCAGGGAGTATTAGGAGGTGCTGCTCCTTTATTCTTGTTCAGACTAGAAATACCATTCTGGACCTCATTATGGAAAACCAATATATTTTCATTTGAAAAAATTCATTGCAATATACTTATATTTTCTTTCAAAAACTCCAAATTAACCTGAAATTGTGGCCATGCCACAGAAATTGAGTGCATTCTCAGCATTCGTTTCGTTTTGTTTCTAAGTATGTACCGGGCTACAGTGCTCAACTTGGTGTTTATTTTTTTACATTTTAAAAGTGCCATTTACAAAATAAAAATATAAATCAAAAACACAGCAACTGAACTTCTGTGGGAAATGTCCTGGCTTGCCTCTCAGCCACTGCTTGCCAGCTCCAGAAAATCATCTGACCCTGGAGCTGCCTTCAGAAATGCACTGAAGGGATTCCAAGGCATGTACAAGATTAGTAAAATCATTTCAGGAGCAGCAACAACACAGCTCTCAACCTCAGGGCCCAGTTGGGCTGAAGGGATGAGCCAACAGCAATCTTGTGAAATTTAATGAAGATCAATGCAAACTCCTGGAGCTCTGAGGGGAAACCCTGCAAGGGTTCGAGCTGGGAGCAGCTGGGCTGGGGAGCAGCTCTGCAGGAGGTGCTGGCATGCTGGAGTACCGTGAGCCATGTGGGAACCAGCAGTGACCAGGCAGCAGGAGCAAAGTCCACCCATCTAGAGATATTATCCTCCTCTGCTCCACACTTATGACACATGAGATTATCATGCCCGGTTTTGCGCCCCCCTTGATACAAAACATGGACAAACTGCTGTGAGTTCAGAGAGGGGTCCCGAGCTAGCTAGGGCTGGAGCAGTTGCCTTTAGGGATGGGACTGCTTCAGCACGAGAGGCAGAGATGTCTCCAGCAGGGGCAGACAGCAGCCCCTGGTAACTATGTGGAGGCAGTTGAGAGGAGGGAGCCAGGCCCCTCATAGCAATGAAGCAACAGCTCTGATTTACTCTTCCATTCTACAATACTTTTTTTTCCCCCTATTTTTGATAAAACTGTGCACTAACAGTTATGTGATTTGTCAGAGATTCATTCTGGCAGTCTCAGAAAAAAGGGCAAATTTATGGGGGTGGAAAGACAGCTCATTTCTTCCCTTGCTGAAGGGAAGAGTCCTGCCTGGGGAGCAGCAGGTCCCTGACTTTTGAAGCTGCCTTACAGTAGAGAACATGTATCTGTATTGCATCTTTAGAAGAATGGGGAAAGTGTCACATACATTCCACTGTAGGCCCAAGGGAAATAATCTCTGCCAGTATTTTGATTATAAACTGCAGTTAAATTTCACACACCCACACTTCCCTCCCCCACAACCACTTCTGTCTGTCTACTAATGACATGTTCTCACTCTAGGGATAGAATAGATCTACAAGGTCATCTCTCGTCTAACTCAGGATTGTGTCCTATAATGGGTAATTTCAAATGTTTTGGTCAGTCAAGTCTGAATGGAATCATGTTTTCCAATTTCTTGAAATACTGGTCCCCAGTACTTGTCACTGTTTAGTAAATGTCATATGGTGAAAACTACTGTAAGGGGTATGACTATTAAGAGAGACATGTTATGTTGCACTATCTTGTATCTTGAGCTAGTAAGAGGAAATAAAGGATACATACTCCTTTCAAGGTGAAGAAGGATTTTCTTCCATTGGCTTTGTTTTGGTTTGGTTTTATTTGCTGTGTACATAACAGGTATTTATAACATCATCCTAGTCTTCATATAATAAAATCAATTCGGATTCAATTTCTCAATTTTTAATCAGATCAATCTCTTTGCAAATGAATTAACTGTAAATGAATTTGCAGCATGAGCTTCTTTTCGCATTTGGTGGACAGTGGTCTTATTTCACTATCAGTTATGTATGACAGTCTAATGCAGGCCTGACACATACATGCAGGTGGGAGACCACTTTGCTCATCAGGGGGCATTAATGACATTTATTCCGAATTTCACAGAAGGCCTTTGTCATATCACCTCTAATCCTATTTTCCATGTCTAACAGGAAATATATTAATACTCACTTCTTAAAGAAATGTTGCAGCTTCTTCTTGACGTTGCCCCAGGCTCATTTTCAACCATGTGTGGCTGGGGCTGAGAACATGCTTAGCATTTGGAAGATAGGAACTCTGGAATTACGGCAAGAAATGTTTCTGTCGGAGGCAAAACCAGTCTGAAAGACTTTGCTTCAAATTTCAGCCCTCCAAAGTTGTGGGGCTTGCTGAACCAGGGTTTTGTTTCAGCCCCAGAAAATGACAAGAATCCTTTGTGCAAATTGGGTACAGATGTGGGGCTGGGTATCGCACATAACCCACATTTTTAGCTGTTTGTATGTCAGATTTCGTTTGCAGACCATATCCAAATTTCAAATTGCACACTGTTTCTTCTTCAGTTGCAAAAGTGACCGCAACTGTGGCCAAACCCCACTTGCTCCTCGGCTTGTGGAGGGGGACCCTATTTCAGAAAGAAGGTGTTTACTTGTCTGGCTGTGTCCTGACAAGAGGGAGGGAGGAAAGGAGGGAAGGAGTCGGGAGCATGGGACCTGAGGCATGTCAGCTGTGTGGGTTCAGGTTATCCCTTTGTGATGAGTGCCCCACCCCGCTACCCCAGGGCTGGCATCGCCCAAGATTCCCACATGTGCACATGGGGCTGGGCAGAGGGCCAGCAGGACTGTGTCCATGCGCCCTCACTAGCTGTGCTCCAGCCTGAACTCCACACTCTGACACATCCACCATGTGCTCTTCCGTGCACTGTTTTGCTGCCTGCGCTACACAATAAAGCTAAAAGATGAGGTAAAGTCAAGGTTCCTTAAGGCTAGCGGTTTTGTAGCTGTATTCTGGGTACAGTGTGCAGAGTATGGGGGAAGGTGCTGCTATCTACCAGCAAAGCATTCCACTTATCCCATGGAGGGCCATGCTGTTCCATTTTATCTTATATAGAGTACATTTTTGCTGTCTGCAATGGATAGAGAGCAGCCCTGAGGGAATTAATAAAGCTCATGCAGAGAAGTTTTAACTTAGACATGCATAAGGAATATATTAATTTTTAATACATTTTTTTTAAGAAGCACTTTTTTGGCTCAAAACCATTGTGCCTGGTATGTTTATAAAGGCACCCGTAGCATGCTCCAGCTAAGAGTCTGTCAGTGTTTCCACTATAATCCCTCTTTTCAGAGGTTTATTTTATAATTCCAATATAAAATTCAGTCCAGGCAAGAAAAAAACTGGCATCAGTCTACGCCTCAGAGTGATGTTTCTTTAATGATTTTTTTTTAATTTATTTTTTCCCTTATCAACATTTGATTAATGTTAATTAATAAGAATGCTTTCATCTTTAATCATTGTTAAACTTAAAATGGTATCCTGATGAGGTACTTGAGGTACAAATGAACTTCTGAGTGTTTTTCACATTAGCACAGCTCAAAAATATTTCTAAAGCTCTAGTTTGAATTTTGTAAGCAATTAACTAATTTTCTGCAATGCCTTACTATAGCATTTAGGATAAAATATTATCCCAAGTGTGAATTGTGATGACTGAGTCCCATTGAAGCTTTCTAACTATCCACTCCAGAAGTCCTGTTGGGAATTTTGTGATTTGGACTACTGTCCCTGTTGCACAGCTCTTGCAGTCTCACTGGCAGATGGTATATTGTGAAAGCTCACTGGGTGAAGTTCAGCTCACCAACAGAATGCATGCCTAATTGACATCACTGAGAGGTGGAGAGACTACTGAACACACTAACCCTTCCCTCGTACATTTTTCTTCTCTTTTAAACACACATGCTCACAAAACCCCCACAGGAAGCAAAGGGCTCAAAATTACATTTACCTATTAAAAAAAACCAAACAACTGATTTTAAATAAAAAGCTTTATAGTTCAATATCTGCTCAGGAAAAAAGCAGGAAAATCCAGTGTTAGCCTAATATTGCAGTTTCACGCTTATCGGCTTCTTTGTATGCATAGGCTTTACAAAAGTCTCTCAGCACTGGCTAACATTATATACCATATGCGTTGCCTGCAGTACCTCAGCACAACAGGGCAGATTAAGGACAGAGTTTCCGCCTACCTTTTGAAGATTTATATCAGACCTTTTAACCTTCTGTGAAAACAATTTGGTGATTTAATTCTTTTTATGATACTCAACAGCAGCTTTTATACTTCCAAAAACACTGTGTAGCTTTCATGCCGTAAATAGTCATAAATTCAGCCAGACTTCTCCATATTGGAGTAAAGCATGACAGAAATCAACAGGGTTTAAGGTTTTATGAACTTTCTGTCCTGCCAATTGGGGTTCACAAAGCTTGTTGAGTGTGTAAACTTTTCCCTCCCCTGTAATCCTCTTTTCACCCCAATTTAAACAAACAAATATGTGTGGGTTTTTTTTTGTGTGTTTTGTATTATGATGGGCAGAACATGCTTGAAATTCAAGACTAACACATATGGAGACCATATACAACATTGTTGTATATGGTGTAACTGTGGCTCCCTAGGCCTTCACCTCCCTCATTGGGCTGAACAGTGCGCATGTTAGCATTTTGAAGACAGCTTTTGTACAAGACATGTTTCTGATTTGATATTGAACTTTCCAGCTTTTATTCACCAAAGAAAGTTTACCTAGCTTGTTTTGGGCCTCTTATTGTCATTTTCACATTCCTTACAACTACAAATGGATGTATCTCAAGCATTACTTTTATGGTCATGAAGCTGAATCAGAAAGAGTTTAAATGTCTCAGGAATTTGTGACAGAACCAAGAATTTCCTGAAGGCCAACCTACTGGTTTTAATTATTGTTTTTCTAGTTCTTTGGTAGTATTCAAAGTTGAGGTGAAGCCTGTGTTGACTATTCATTTCTGTATATATATTCATTAAGAGAAGATCTGCAGACCTCTCTCTAAAAAGCATCTTTAAGTAGGGAAAGGAGAAAAAGGGCAAGAGAAAGGACTCATTAGCTGCACCCCACACACGTGTCAGAAACTAAAACACAGAACAAGTAATGCAGTTTGCTCCAGGCCACACAGGAAGTTTGCCGAGGAGACAAGGAATTTAATCTACATCCCCTGAATCCCAATCGAGCTCTTTTAACATCTTCCCCAACTAGTTCATATTTCATATGATATGCAGCTTAGACTGTATGGCTTTGGACTTTTATTTCCTTTTTACTTTCTTCCTCTCTGAAATAATGTAATCCAGGAACATCTGAATTGAACTTTTGAACCTTTGATGTTTAAGTAGGTTCGAAAATAAGCAAACTGTGTTTCCATGTTGTTAATTGGAATCACTCTGCCTGCATCTTTTAGCAACCTCCACATGGTTAACTTCAAACTCTGATGTTAGCCCAAAAGAAAAAAGAAAATCGGGTTCTATGAAATATATTAAATATTTTAACTGTACAAAATGGGGAGTGAGATTTTGAAAACTGACTTAGGAGAATGACAGACATCTGTGTTTGTACTTCCTCCTGCCTGGTCTGAAGGTCATTATTTTGAGCTAATAGCTGACCTCTTTGGCCTCTGGAAGGCCATTATGCTTAATGGCCTGAGCTAATTTGCTGTGCTACAGGGTTGGCTGATCTTTATTTTAATCTCCTGCACCTTCTTCTGCTCTTGTGGGGAAAGCAACTGCTCTGATATAATCCAGTTGACACCAAATTGCCTAGACGAGGGAACAGGCAAGCTGCTATGAGACAGGACTACACAGTAATTTACTTAACTTGACTCTCGTGGAAAAAAAAGGCAAGGAAAGGCAAGGCATACGCATACATGTGCACACACATATGTGCACACTGTGTAAGAGGGTGAGAGAGCAGGCAGTGATGCTGATTAAAAGGAAAGAAAATGCAAGAGAGGGAATGAGGAAAAGAGTGATAAAAGAGATACACGCTTTCACAAGCAAATCTACATTTCTAGCCCCATTTTCCTGCCACTGAGTTTATTTGCAAGAATAACGCTCAAATGATTTGCTACCAGGAAACAGAAATAGCTTACTAGTACTCTTTCTCACAAAATCAAGTACCTATTTGAAAAGTAAAGTCCCTTTGCCATCCACACATACCCATGTCTCTTTGAAAAGCTGTTATGAGTGACTCATTTGAAAATCAGATAAAATAGAAAGCAAACACATAAAGATCATCAGCTGCTAGAGTCATATTCTCAGAAATGAGGCAAGGTCCCATGAGGTGCTGCTCTCACAGCCTTTGTCCAGATAGAGGGATTTTTGTCTCCTTGAAAGTTTTCTTTAGGTCTTCAGCCCAGGGACAATGGAGGAAATCTGACCTAGGGAGGGGCAGCATTGCTTTGGTGGGGTATGGAGCTCCACTGCCAGCAGGGCTGGGGCTACTGGGGTGCTGAGCAAAGAGAAAGACAGAGTCTTATTCTCTCTCCACCCTGAGCATTTTCCCACTGCTCCAAATGACAGAGCCATTACTTTCTGTCTTAGCTGACATAATTTTGCCTTTTCTGCTTTCTTTTCTCATCCCCATCTCCTGCACATGTCCTATGCCCTGAGCAAGAGGGGACACAATAACAAAATGTCACGTCAGCAGCAAGCTGAAGATTTTACAGTATGTGAAAGCTTGAATGTCAAGGAGCAAAGCTGCTTTACATATGTGCAGTTTTGTATCTACTGTCACATATACATGAAATACCCCAGAAATGTGCACAGCATGACCAACTATTGCAAGTCACAGGTCCTCATTCCTCTCTTTTCTCACTAATTTTCCATGGTCTGCTGCTCTTGCTGATATCTTGTCTAATGTGCTGTGGCTGGCTGTACAGAGAGGCTTGGACGCTCTGCTTCATATCTGTGCTATGCAGAAAACTGCAGAAGTAACTGGAGCTGTGTGTCAGTGATTTTCCCCATCTGCACTCATTGCAGCTGGCAGCGAGCAGTGCTTTTTTCTGGGGCTTCAGTCCTTTTGGTGCTGGAGCCTTATGGACAATGTTGGTGAAAGTCCCAGACATCCCTGACCCTGTCACTGAGGCTGGCTTCTACCAAATGGTCCAGTTTTGCCAGCAGTGTCAAGGGAAATGCAGTGCTTATCTCCATGGCTCAGCCCTGAGTCTGGGGCTGCCCCTGTTAATGGTGTCTGGACTGTCCTGAGTAAATTACCTACAACAGCAGCCTTGATGTTCAGTGGAGGGATAAAAGCTATCAGCTGACACGCTTAGGTCTCAGAATTCTTAAATATATCAGAATTATGCTCTTGCACTTCATTAAAAAAAAAAACCCACACAGATGAATTTCTATTACGTTTCAGGCTCCTACTTAACCCATGAGGCTCTTGGACTTGCTGTGGTGGATC